CTTGAATATTGATTCTCCCACTTCAGCCCATTCACATGCTATGATTATGAGCAGATATTACGGATGATTCCCTTCATCTCTCAGCTTCTTCCTCAACAAGCTAATCACACTGAAGAGGTGAGAGGGTCTTTTTTCCAAACATCACATAGGTCACAAATAGGGTGTACCTGTGAGTTTAGATTTTTTATGGTTATGTGATTCAGGTGCAACTACAAACTGGCATCATTTCTTATGCACAGTATTATGTTACCTTTTTAAATCCAAGATTAAATTTTGTCTTCAAAATCACTGTAGAATGAAACCTCCCAATATCCAGAGTTATGTTTTCTGAGTGGTAAGTTATTTAATTACTTTTGGAGAGGAAGTATTGTAGATTCACTGTTTAATGAATTAGGATAGATAGATAGATAGATAGATAGATAGATAGATAGATAGCCAATTTTTCCCACCTGAGTTCTTAGAAACTGCTATAATTGGTGATTGTGGAAAACAGAGTAATTCTTAAATTGGTTCATAATGTCACACAAAGTGTCATGCTTTTAATTGTATTCAAAAATAACAACTTTGGACATCAAATTTTTCTCTAGAATTAGGGGTAAAGCAATAGTAACAATGCAAACTTTTTTCTTTCTCCATACCTTATTTTATTATTAAAGCCTGTCAACTTACAATCTGCTCTCCTTCTGCAGAACTCTTGTGATAGTACTGAAGGAGCACATCAATAGAATATGAAATATCAAGACAAATTCAGGAATAAAATAACTAGAATTCATATAAAATTCCAAAAGCCACTGCTCAGCAATGAAATGCCATTCAATCCTTTAGGAACTCATTAATCGATTAACATTTAGAACAGTAATTACAGGGAGAGTTGAATTCAAGTTAAGTAAAATTAAAAAGACCAATTATGTATTATATAATCCCACTGAATACTTGATAAGGATCAATAAAGTAAAGTACCAGAGGCAACAAGTCAACATTAAAAGAGTGAAACACATGTGCATGTACATATAACACACATGATAGAGATGTTTAATACACATATATTGGTGCTTCATAAACTCGGGGTATGCCATCATATTTCCAAAGAGGAAAAGGGATATATTGACATGAAATAAATGATCTCTATGAAAATGGTGAGTTGATACTTTATTGGCAATAAACTGAATCTTAAACCAAATTGAGTGTGATAAACCTGCATTTTCAAAGAATTGTTCCTGCTCTTTATGAAGAAAGAGTATATGCTTTCAAATGATTTAATATGATGAACATCTCCTTCTACTATTTGTGATATCTCAAGACAAAGAAAATTGTATGATATAGGAGGTTAATGTATGTTCTAATTAATAAAAATTCTTGAAGTATACAATACATGTTAGAATCTGAGTTGTTATTTAAGATTATTTTACTAATTGCAGGAGTAAATAGTAATTTGGTTGTTTTAGAATTATCAATTTTGGAAATCTTCCTTCTTTGCTTCTTTGAATCTGGAGATTGCTGTGGTGTTTTAGAGGAGCTACAGCTGTTTTTGATGGGTCACAAATGAAATGCATGAAGAGTAAGTGGGTTGTAAAAGTCATAAATGCCACATAAAATGAAGTCATCAATGAGTTAAAAATGATTGGGGTTTTAGATTTGCCATTTTCCTTTTTAAATGTCCTTATTGATTTGTTGCAAATACTGCTAACCCTGTATTTGGCAAATGGTGAGGACATTATTACTTGTGTTCTCATTTGTAATAAAACAGATTAACTTGCTGTGAAATTTTAACTAGGCTGAGACACAACAGTAACCACCTAATGAACCAAAACACATTGCAGTTAAGTAGCTAAATAGATGCATACTGATTATCGGGCTGAAAAATGAATGTTTACTTGCAAAGAAGACATTGTTCATAGAACTATCATTATTTGAGAAGCAATTAAACATTCCAGTTCTGCACAGATTTTTTTTTGACACAACTAATTCTAAATCAGTATAAGATACTGGACTTCTTTAACATCATTTACATGGCAAAAAAAAAGTCTGACCTCCAGGCTGCCTTAGGAAAATAATAACAAAAAACTAAACCCAGATTAAATTTAGAAAGGGCAGGGTACAAAACCTTAAAGCAAAACATTGTTTCATGTAAAATGTTACTGTCACTCTTAATATTGACTCTCTAAATCATGTTTTCAAAGTTAGTTTATATTTTATATAATGTATTGTTGAAAATGGCAAAAAGGGAATTTGAAGATAATTGATTCAAGCTTATATTTCTCAATCACATGCTAATTTTAAACATGTTGGGGAAATACCTTATTATAGCATTATATTTGTCTTGTTAGATATATAATTTTCTATTTGTGTTGATGTTCTTCCAGTCTTTCTTTACTAAGAATAAGCTTTCATTTTTTTATTAGGCAGAGTGGACAAGACAAAGTATAATTGTCATTTGTATCCTCTTATTTTTACAAACTCTCTATTGTATGAATCACTGAAAAAAATTTCCATTTTTATTATGGAGGCATATAATGCTGCATGTGTGATTCCCTTTGGATATTGTACAGTGTTTTGTTTCTTTAATTGTATTTTTGTACAGTAACTTCTGTAATTTTCCCTTATCCATTAATTGAGAGATCCATTGAATTATATACATATATATGTGTGTGTATATATATATATATATATATATGAAAATTGTCAGTGTTAGAATTCAAAGACAATTACTGAATGCTTTTCACTTTATGCACATATTTTGGTATGAATGAATGTGACTATAAAACAGTGAAAGAAAAAAAAAGGGCTTCACATATGAAATTTTTTATTGTGGGTGTGAATGTGTATATGTATATACTATCTGAAGAATATGTTTTTAACCATGAGAGTTTGGGTTGTCTTTCAGAACTAATGAACTTCTACTCTCTTAAAAAAATGAAAGGTTGTGGGGTGTGAGGGATGTATAGATATTCCTGTCCATCCCATATTATCCCTCCAAAAATGAGTAGAATTATTGTGGAATGAACTTGATCATTTTCTTCTGTCTAATTTATATATTGCTTTTGATTGTTCCTCATATACATTACAACCAGATGTTTTCCTGTATACTAAATATAAATGAGTTGTATCAGCACATTTCTCTGCTTAAAATATTGTTTTTAAGGCATGACAATAGCTATGAAGTCTTTATACTGTATATTTACAATTATTGCTATTTAATTAGTGCATAAAACTGAAACTACTATATGAAAAGTCTACAGTTCATTTCACAAAAGTTATTGAATATTAACTAAATGCTAGGCAATAATGTAATACACCATATAATAATGAACATAATATATTGATGACTGTATTTGTGTTCTAATACTGCTAGAAGAAATTAACACAAATTCAGTGGCTTAAAACAATACAAATTTATTATCTTACAGTTCTGTAGATCAGAAATCACAAATGGGTCTCTCAAGGTTAAAAGCAAAGTCCTGATAAAGTTACATCCTTTCTGTAGGTTTCTTGCCTTTTCCATTTTCTATAGGTCACTCATATTTATTGGATCAAAGCCCCTTTCTTCTACCATCAAAGACAGCAAAGTTGCATCATTGTGATCCTCCTCTTCTGTCTCTTTTCTACTTTTAAGAAGCTTTTGATCATATTGGGAGCATCAAGATAATTTCCCAATATCCAATATGATCTCTCTATATCAATATTCTGAATGACCACTCCAACAGTCCTTTTGGGCATATAATGTAGTATATTCACAGGTTTTGACAATTAAGATGTGGAATAGACATCTTCAGAGAAAGGGTGGCATCATTCTGCCTGTTGAAATGACAGACATTGCAAAATGTTCACAACAGCTAATGAAATAATAACTTTTAATTCTCATGTCATTATATTTACATTAAACAATCACTGTTTTTCTTTAGGGGGTTTATAAATTTTGGGCCTCATGCAAAATCAATATGAAAATGAACATGTACATTTTCAATAAACTAATTAAATAAACTAATTCTTGATGCTATGATGATTTGAATACTGATGTTGTAATTATAGATAATTAGAATATTTAATTTAAGAAATGTATTATGAATGAATTAAATATTTTATAGAATAAATATTCCCTGCCCCAGCATGTCTATCATTCATTCTTATTACATATGTGTACAAACATTGCAATTTGATTATTTTATTGATCAAATTAACTGAAATGATGCAGTATTATTCAATAATTTCTCATGTATAAATATGGCAAATAACATCAGTGTTTTATAACAATGTTTATAATCTCAAAAGTCTTGAAAGCCATAGCAGATAGAAATGTATAAAAATATTTGCTTTTAATTCAAATTAATCATTTAAAACTATACAAATCTAAGTGATACTAAGGAACTGACAGGATATGTTTGAAAAAACCCATCATTGTGTTCTGTGACTATAAAAACAATTAATATAATTCAGCACCAGTTCCTGAGGTCTAACAAAAAAATGTGTATCATAGCCATGATTTTTGTGCAGAAAAATTAAGAATGTACTAAGTTGTCACTATTTATGAGTTTTTCCCAGGGCTTTACAGCTCTTTACATCATGTAGATCTTCTTTTTAGTCAGATAGTAGTATCATTCTCCAGGCCTTGTTATGAATTTTACATCTTTCAAGAAACTTACAATAATAACTTTCATTACATACCTAAGTTTACAATGATTTATTATTGTTCTAGAAAAGGAAATGGAAATTAACTTTTCTTGAGTCTCCTACATGTACCCAGAATGTCTTTGAACTCTTTTGCTTTCTGTTACTTAACTCTTACAATATCCCATTAAACACACAATAATGGAAATATGTTTTTGTCTAAAGATTTATATTTAAGACCAATTACTGTGGATATGTCCACACACTTTCAGGATAAGAGGTCAACATTTCAAATCTTATAGACTCAACCATCTTGAAAAACTTGGCATACACATGGCATTTCCTTTTATGTTTTTTTTTTTTTTTTTGTGTGTGTGTGTGTGTGTGTGTGTCAGGAGCGGATCCCAGAGAGCCCTTCTCCTGCTCCCTCCCTGGAAGAGAGCCATCGCCCTGGGAGCCAGACCTCTTCCCACCCCAGTAGCAGTGTGTCCAGCTCTCCCTCTCAGATGGATCATCAGTCAGAGAGAATGGGTAGGTATTTTTGTTGAAATAAGTATTGGAAAATATTTGTTCAGTAAATTCCTCATTAGGCAATGGATAGGGGAGAAAGAAGCCGAAGAAGCTGACACTTCCTTAACATACATGACTTTTTGAAGTGGTCACTTTTTATTGCTGAAACAACATGACCAATAAAATGAAACTTAAAGTGTCAGAAATTTGTTCTGTGCAAAGATATTTCTTTATTGTATCATACAATCTCATGAGAACAATATCATAGGATTGTTGGTAGAATATGTGTTAGCTCAATGTTATATTGTTAGGTAAGAGCTATTGCATTATAATACATTAGCATTGCATTATTCATAGCATTATTTGGGATAATGGAAGGTAAAATATTCTTTTGGCAGCTCATCTTTTAAGAGTGATTAAAAAGTAATGCAATATATAATAGACCACAGTCTTAAAAATTTGGATCACAAATATTGAACATGCTTTTCTCTACATTTTTTATTTTTTCAGAAATCTTACACCATAGACAATATTCTAGAAAATTGTACTACAATGGTGTATCAGACACTTGAATATAGCCATAGGTGTACAGTAGATATAATATCCTGGGTATGATGTATAGTCACCATGAGTTTCTTTATGATATGGAAATGATTATCCTCCTGACAACTACACTGAATTTTTGGAGGTCTTATGGGATAATATGTGTAAAAAATTTCAGAAGTTTGAAAAGCTAAGGAAATATGAGGTGATAAATATTACTTTTCTGCATGTGACTTTACCTTGACTGTTTATCATCTCCTACTATTAGATATCACTCATGTATACAGAAATTACTGGGTACATTCAGCTGTAACTCATTCTCATTTAATATACAGTAATTATGGATTAACTGACCTAGGTAAACTCTTCATTAATTTTCTATATGTATACAAATCAATTTTCTATATGTCTGTTTTCTTTAAGGAAATCACATTTTCTTTTCTTTTAGTCTTAGTATGGGTATGTTAGGTGTACTTTATGTATGCAAATCTCATAATAGTGACTGATTCCAGGCTTTCCAAAATAGTGTGTGTGTGTGTGTGTGTGTGTGTGTGTGTGTGTGTGTGTGTGTTTTAATGGAAGGAGATAAATTTACAGGATTTCAGAAGGTATTCAGTTCTGCTTTTGTTCTGGAGAAGGATGAAGGCAATTTCTCCCTTGTGGAAATTAACCCAAGTCTCACTTAGGCTGCCAAAATTATACATTTTTTGTAGATTTCTAGCTTCATAATGCATTTTTTGATTCTTAAATCTGGCTCTGTATTATACTCACTAATACATTTTTTTACAACTATGGATGTTCAGGCCAAACAGTCTGGGTTTGATTCACCTGGTCTCGAATATAGCTGGGGTAGCAGTGTTTTGATTTGCTTTTTATTATCTCCTCAGGGGATTCTAAAATGCATACAGATTTAAGAAACAGTGACGTAGAGCTTGAGGATTATGGCCCTAAGGTGAAAGTTTAATTCCTGAAAGAGGTGAACAAGGTTTTTAGCTTTACTCTGTTCTATGAATAAAAACTACCTGGTTTTTACAATTTTATATATGACTGATTCAAGGGGGTCTAGGTAAGACAAGAGGCTACAGCTGAATTATTACTGATGAACCAAGAAACTAAATTTCACACTATGCTGTTGAGATAATCCTTTTATTGTTGAAGGTGCAGGATAGTGAAAGAAAGGGGGGGGAGGGATACACACACACACAGACACACACACACACACACACACACACACACACATATATATATATATATATATATATAAAGAGAGATGTAGATATAGATGTAGATATGTAGTATTATATATATATTATATATATTATTATATATATTATATATATAGTATTATTATTATAGATGTAGATATATAGTATTGTTTATTGAGTGCTGGCTAAAAGCAGAGCACATAAAGATATATACTTAGTGAATAGAATAGTTAGCTCATGTTTAGAAGTAAAATCAAATATTTCCAAAAAATCATAATATATTACAAAAAATCTTGAAAACATAGTACATTTCTAATTCATATGATAGTAATTAAACTCTATATGTACATTCTATAGTTGTTCAAGCATGATAAAAAGGTGATTTATAAATGAATACAATGTGTTGGTGTTTCTTGGCTTTAAAGTGACCATATCTTATATATAAAATCTTAATAAAATATAAATACACAGTTGAAAGGACAAACTCAGAAAATTAGCATGATTTTTCTCTTTCAATATAGATGTACTGTGAAGAATTGCAATAGTTACCAGAAAGTTATATTTTATCTATTAGTTTTTCAATTTGTGATATTTGAAAAAAATTTTGCACAATAAATTAAAAGTAAAATTACTTTTAACATTTATTTATATGATATATTAAAGGATGGATTATTTCCAGAAACATTTTGGGAAATATGTTATTAATGATGGAATTAAATAGATTGCATATAGATTTTAAAAGATAAGCTATTTTAAATGCTCCAAATAATATGTTGGCAATTATATAAGTGCTATATATTAATTTTACTATAAAATTGAAATGGTTAAGTATCTTATTAATTTTTAAATTATATGAACATAAGACTAATAAAAAGTTATACTGTTACAGAGCTACAAGTATATAAAAATCATGTTATTAGAGAATATTATCCATTTATGTGAAGCTCTTCTGCCTTTCTTGGTATTTTGCATCAAGAATTACTCAGTTACATCTCTTATTTATAGTTATGATGCCCAACAATAGAGAGGAACTTATTGTTGATCATGATAATGGACCAACCATCAAAAAATTCCAAAGGGATAATAAAGGTAAAATGATTTTTGCTTATTTGATGTACATATAAATATCAGATACTAACTCAATTAACATATCAGTTTTGTATATTGTATCCATGTTTCCTAATTCAGAATAAATATATATGGCTTTGGGTAAATTGTTTTAGTAGTAAAAAATGTATTTTCCTGAAGTTTTTTTATTAATATTATAATTTACCTATCTACCTGAAAAATTTATGTGCATGTGGTCAAAAATCTCACCCTAAACACTTTCATTATAACTACTCATAGACATGTGATGCCTCTCTTTGTGTATGTATGTACATAAACATACATACACACACATATATTTTTATTATCTAAATAATTCACCGTTTGTTGTTATATTTACAAAAACTGAGTTGGTATAATGGGGTAAAGCTGCTTTCCTCAACCCTCAAAAGCAATCTAACTTGATCATTTCAAATGGAAGCTGTTTTAATAAATATTTTTGTTGCTGTGTCTTAAAGGCCTAACTAGAGAAATTTTAAAGGAGGAAAAGTTTATTTAGGGACTCACATTTTCAGATAGCTGACTCCATTTCTCTGGGCTGAAGGGGAGGCACAACTTCATGCCAGAAGGATGTAGAGGAGGAAAGCAACTGGGAGCGGGGGACATCTCTTCAAGAAGAAAGGGAGGAGAGGGAGAGAGGAAGAGAGAGAGAGAGAGAGAGAGAGAGAGAGAGAGAGAGAGAGAGAGAGAGAGAGAGAGAGAGAGAGAGAGAGAGAGAGAGAGAGAGAGAGAGAGAGAGAGAGTGAGTTAGTTAGTTCTCTCCTCACTGTGACAAATATAAACCCCAAAGGCGTGCCTCCAGTGACTCACCTCCACTCAGCCACACTCTATCTGCCTACCTGCCTACTATTGCCACATAGATAACCCTTGTCAGTGAATCAATGCACTGATTAAGTTAAAGTTCTCATAACCCAATAATTTCACCACTAAGCTTTCTTGTATTATCTCACACATAAACCATAACAAAAGCTTATAAGGTTAATCTACCAAGTATTTATCTGGAATACAGATAAATATGCCCTCAACATGGCTTTTAATCTGCCAAGGTGCAGGTGTTATCTCTGTGCAGTACCCAGTTTTGTCTTAGGATATCTGTTTAAAGAAGGTAAGGAGAGTAAGAATTTCAAAGGGATGCTCTTCTGAAATGAAAACTGAGCACAACTTTGTTTAAAAGGTTACAAAGATAGGAGAAAAGGAAAATATATAATCATGTTATCGACCATCATTATTGCTGTCGTCATTAGTTATACTATAGCTAACATGTAACTTATCAGATTTGTAGATGGTCTGACAATTTTAGTACAGTTAGGGAATCTCCACTAAAGATGCTTATAATATGTAGAAAATATTCCATGAGCTGAACAGTTAAGGGAAATTTTTTTCTTTCTTCTTTAGGCTAAACTTGCTTCATAATTACCTAGATGAGCATTTTAGTCGGAATTTGGAATAGTGTATGATTTTAATTTCATCGATCCATGGTTGGTTTCCTTGCCACATGTTTTGTCTTTTTTTAGCCAGACACTGAAATGCTATACCCTCTGGGGCTCCAAAATGCAAATGATTTATTTCAGAATAGTTGTCAGAATAGAAAAAGTCAGGTTCAGTATATTAAACTACCCAAATTCTTATACAGGTAATGAAATTCTAGTTAAAGATGAAGCTTCATTCATAACCCAGCAACAATTTGTTCTGGAGAGCCCTTTTCTACCATACCATGACTATTTGAAGGGCAGCTTAGTAGTAAAGCACTTTTCCAAGGAAAATCTCAAGCTGTACATGACACATATGATTCCATTGGAACTGTAAACTCCATAAGTCAAAATGGCATTTAGGACTGGTTATATGCTGCAGAGCTCAAGTATACACTGTTGTGTCTTATGAAAAATCAGCTGAAGCCTTGGTACAGATGTATGATTACTGATTTTCATAAAATACACAGTGGTATTTATTGGCATTTCTGAATCTCTTGCGGTAGAATGGTGCAGCTTTATACATTTCAATCAAATAGGTTGGTCACACATCTTGATGAGGATATTAATAAACAGGAGTGGTGTATTAAACTGCACCCCAGTTATGGTGAAAACTTTATTTTTCAAAAATTTTCTGTAGTTGTAGATGGACAGCATTCCTTTATATTCCTTTATTTTTATTTTTATGTCGTGCTAA